TAATTAAAATGGATAAACAGCATACAAGTTATTTGCTAGAACTACGTATTTTCAGTTTTTATTTCTGACGTTCCCGTGTTTACTTTTCCCTTGATTCTTACGCATTCATAAGGGGTTAGTTACATTTGTGTGTTCGTGTGAGCGATGTTTTGATGTGATAATTGTGAATATGTTCTGAAGTAATTAGCAGGGATTATTAATTATCATTACAATTGTACCTTTTTTGTAATTTTATTTTTAGAATGTTTTTCGGCCAACGTCCTGTTTTTAACTTAAAGAAGAACAACGGTATTTCTTTCCCGTCCAACTGCCATGAGATTCTCGTATATTTACTCCGTATAATGATTTCTTTCCGTGGTTGTCATTACCAGAGGATATTTGTAAAAGAAACATTGAACCAGAGTTCTGTTTTAAATCATTAACGGAAAATTGCATCCGATTAATGTTTGAAGAACTCAAGTACAAGAAAACACTCAAGTCAAGAAAACATTGTAATTTTGAATTTATAAGTAAATATGGTACATGTATACTCTAAACACACAAACGATGAATTCATTAGAGCTGTGCGGCAGATGTAAGTTCTTCATCGTGGATCTGCTGTTCCTTAGAAGAGGACTTCTGAAGAATAGCAAATCCATGATCTGCCTCTTTTATTTTAAAGCACACTTAGCAGGCCTTGTTTTAAAATCTTGACATCTGAGAGTTGAGTTGGGGAAAATATTTTATCTTAATTTTGATTTTACATATTTCAATTTTATTTTTTATTTTAGTTTTACATAGAATACATAAGGAAAAATCTGCTGATATTAAAGAACGGAGGAGTCAAAGAGCCATAGTTACTCAGGTGAGCGTTAAAATCAAAGGAAAAAAGGAACTCTTGTTTTCCTGTTGACAGTTTGCTTACACGGTCATTGTATCGACCATAGACCTGAACTTGTGAAATAGTAAATTCAAACGTTGTATTTTTCTTTCAACAACATTTTAGTTAATAGCTTTTCTTTTTTTAAAATGTGATCGTTCAAAAAGCATCCCCTTGTGTATCTAATCAACTGGGAGATAAAAAACCCGTATGCAGGGAATAAAGGTACATTGCCTGCATAAGTGAGTAAAGTTGACGAGGGAAAAGTTAAAGTCGTCACGTTTTTCATAAAGTTATCATTAACATCTTTTTCTTGTAAAAATTGTATCCAAATATGAAACAGATTGTTCAGACTTTGTAGACAAACAAACAGACTGAAAGACAAAAACTGTGTTTTCATATTTCGAAAAGGTCTAAACTGACATATTGTTCGGATCGACTCATTTTGGTTTATATAACTGTCCAATATTTGATTCCATATTTATTCCGTTGTTTAGATCTTGTATGTCGTACATTATTTTTAGAATGTATCATAATAACATTATTTAAAATGAACTTTAAATATTTCGAACAGTTTTATAACTCAGGTATTTTTAACAACACAGATTTGGAACAGAGCAAACACAGGCCTCTTAAAGCATCAGAGGTGGGATCACGTGCCAGGGAGAGGAAGTATCCCTAGTCAATCGGCAATCGGTCTGACCCACCATGTGCTCCTCATATTGTAGGAATATATAAACGTAAAATTATTGACAAACAAGTTGATGAAACAGTCTCGTTTAAAGTCATCAATTCGTAAGCTCTATGCTCGATACAATGACCTTGTCAGCAAATAAAATTTATCATTAAGTCAAATGCGTTTTTCATACTAAGTGTTAGTCCATTATTTATGATTGACGGCGGATTTTTCCGTTTTTTCCCGATCATGACAAGGAAAACACAGGGGGTGTAACTGGTCGACCGGGGATGCTCACTCCTCCATGGCACATGTTCCCACCTCTGATGATTTGGAGATCCGTATGTTTGCTCTGTTTCCTATTTTGTATTGTTTAGTGGATTTTGAACTTGAATACTACTAGTATTTATTATTTCCATATGTTTCATCTACCAAATTTTGATATGTTGTAGATCTACATGAAATCAATTTAATAACTTATGACAAAAGTACACGTATTTTATCAATGTCACTCGAATTTAGAATAAGTACTTAATTAGTTATTTAGTCTAAAAAAGTATACATTAAAAATAATAATCCCAATTTTAAATAAATCAAACATTAAGTGATTTTAAAACTTATCTCTAAAAATTCAACGTTAATTAGGACTGTAAATTCACTATATATATTTTTTGAAATGATAAAATCAATATATTTTAAAAAAAATTCTTAAATTATCAAACTAAAAAAAACTTCACATGATAATCATATTTTGAAATTTAAATTGAAAATGAGCTTTCAATTAAGCAACTGCATACCTAAAATATCAATAAACACAGTATTAATTAAGTATCTAATAAAAAGTTTTAAGGACGTATTTGGATAAACCAGCGTAAATTAAATCAATGTTTGTGAACAAAATAAAAAAACCCAATGATTTTGAAGTTTCAGGATTTTGTTTTTAACTACAAAAAAAAGAATGATTTTAAAGTTAAATTTGAAAAAGCGTTATCTTGTTTTTTTCTACATAATAATTAGCACGAAACATTATTACTTTGAACATATATTATCATTTTCAAAATAGAATATTTGATTCTTAAATTTCATATTCAACTTTTTGAACAACAATTTTGGACACGATAACAAGCTCTCCATCATACAATTTATTGTCATAGTATGTGCCAGAGGGCAGAAATCTACACGTGTATATGTCCATTCTCGAATTAAAGATGTTATAAGTGTGAAATTGCTATTATATTCATAGAACTGTCAAGTTTTGTAAAACATTCTGCTCGTTTTCCCTGATTTTAATAAAGACTGGATAGAAGATAAAACAAATGTACATATCAAGCATATTGTTGGTGGTGTGACCACTGGTTGTCAAATATTATATTTGACTGAAACCGATAAAATATTTATGTATATTTGGAGGAAAACTAAATGATACAACATTCTGTTCATTGGGTTATCTGTTTTCAACTACTAGTAACTTGTAAATAATTTACCTGTGTAAAACAATCTTAAGAAATTATTTCATATAAAATCTCTTTTTTTAAAGTTACTGATAAATATAAATGTAACAGACACCAACAGGCAAACAAATAAGGAATGAACCATATGAAATCAATATATATTCATGAAAATGTGTATGACATGAAAATAAAAGAAACAATCGTTTCAGACATAATTCTCAAACTTTTTTTCAGAAATGATGTGGCGACATTTACTATACGTTAGATAGTCTCCTCTTTGAAAATACAAACAGATAATTTCATAAAATAATCTCTAATTAATTTTGCCCAGGTTGTGTCCTTCCAGTAAAAGATTCACACTGTTTGTACCCTTAATTATGATTCCTTTAATAATTTCCCCAACAAAACTATGCATACTAGCATATATTGTTGTATGTTTTTTTTTTAAAATATTAAAATATTATTTAAAAAAAAAACCATTTTAATGTTATGTTTCTATTGAAATTTTCTATTTCTAAATGCTTTTCTCAATGCTTTATCAGATGAAAAACTATCGGAAAAAAACTTTGAAATGAGGTGTGTTGTGTTCTTTTTCTTTAGTTCATGCAAAGAAATAAGTGTCTAATTCAAAGTTATGTCCTTAAATGTTTGATATGAAAGTAAAGAAAAATTAGCTGAATGGTTCTAATTAAGGTCTTTCTTGTCGCCAGCATCAGTGTTCTGAGCGATTAGTCAATATAAACTAGGTTTTGAGACTTATGATGAAAGGATAAGCCTTTGCCTTTGTGAAATCCTTTCACACAAGATGGTATGAAAGAGCAAAGGATGAAACAGAATGGCAAGAAAGAAGTCACGATTCCCCCTGGGACCCGTGAATTGGTGTGGGTTAATGATCGTCTAGGTGACCACTCTTTTCCTTTGCTTTGTAAGGTTGTGTTCGATTAAGTGTCCTGCGGATACACTTGACACACTGTTGATCTTAATTCGTGTTCCAATGACCTTTAACACATCGTTTGTTTATTTTCATCATAAGACGATGTTCACAAATGACAAGGTGTCCAGCCAGAATTTATCGCCAAGATGTCTAGCATTCTTGCAATGCCGACATACCGGTATACAACAGATAAATGTTTTCGACAATTTTAATTTGGTATGAAAATTTTAACAACGTAGTGTAATCAAACTTTTATTATAATTTGAGTATTAAGCATACAAAAGTATAAAAAGGAACAAATGTATATAACATCTTAATACCTATGAATGAAAAATAAATAAACATCAATATTTAAAGCATTCAATACCTGAAACCATTTGTTTCACTTGATAAAATCGTATCAGCGAAACAACATCTCTATTTTTACGTAAATCTAATCTTCAGAGGCACAATCGGTCCAACAGGTAGTTCAATAATTCAAAGCAATTTAAGAATGAATTTTATTTAGCGCTGAGGTATTTTTCTCATTAATTGCACAGTCTTTTGCTTAAGAATCTCGTTCCTTTAATATAATGCATGGAACGGTGGCTGGAGACATACGATGGTATATGTGTTTATTATACTTCTGTTAAAATGTTTCCTATATAAAGTTCAGAGGGTAAAATAACTATTCCTCATAGTCTGAAAATTTCCCCCCATAGAAAGCTATACCCCCGGGGTATAGTTTTTGCTACCCACACCTCGGAAAATTTCCATGCAATTTTTGACGCCAATTTTAAATTTCCAGCGTTAAATCCATAGCCTGATGATGTCATAATGACTTATGTAGCATTGTGACGTCATCAGGATTTCAGCTTATTCTCGCAGTATTATCTAACACCAAAGTAAATTCAAACCTATGAAATTATAATATACATCAGTATAATAAAACACTTATCCACTGGCTGTGAGTGAGATAGCTCTTTTATCAAACCCTTGACAGGAACGATTCCCCTCGGGCAAGCCCTCGGGGAATAGTTCCCTGTCGCGGGTTTGATAAAAGAGCTATCCCACTCACAACCATTGGATAAGTGTTTAATATCAAGGTGGCATAAAATATGCTTTCAAAACCTGTGAAGTTTTGCCTTTTGCATTAGAGTATAGAAAATAAACGTCTTTTTTGTATGTGAATATCTCCCAGTCCGCGTTTGGTAAAACGTCCATCTGGTGAACTCGGACGAACTTTTCTACACCCCGCCATTTGTAGATACTTGTCAGGTGATCACCTTCCAGCGCGCGATTCTGCGCATTTGAGACGATTAGGAAGTGCTCGTCACCAATGGTTACAAATTCCCAGTCCACTGCACTATAAACAAGAAGAAATCTTTAATCAGCGAAGCGTTTTGACACAAAACAAGATCCAGCTGTCATAGGTGAAAAGGGATTAACTTCAAAGTTAACCTTAATTTATCTGCAAATATTTTTATTATGCTGAGGGAAAATGAGACATTAAAATGCACTATATTAGAAACTGAAAACATACTGTATGCCATCTATAACAATCATTTGTTTTTGTACTCCTATAATGTAACAATAGATTTAAAAACAAAGTGCTTTTTTAAGGGCACCAAAGGCACATCGAATGATCTATTATTTTCTGTTTTCGTCCGTCGTCGTGCGCCTTGATTTAACATTTTCACTTATAATTCTCTAGAATCGCTTGGCCAATTTCAATAAATTCTGACTAGAAACATCTATGCAAAATATGAAATTTGTAACCCTTGTCAACAGAGGGCCTGAGGGTGAGCTTCAAATTATCATTATCAATTGTATTGGGAAAAAAAATTCTTCGGACATCAATCAATCAAGTTACTGTCATGATCTGAAAAGCATTTAACCCTTTACCAATATTGTTAAATTCATGTCACCCCCAGGATTAGGGTTTTTAGTGTTAAAATGAGGTTATATCAATTCGATAATTTAGTAAAAATTACAAAAATCTTCAAAAAAAAATTTTCCGCTGTAGCTGCAGCAGACAAACTATTTTCATATACGAATTCAATTTCATTTCATTTAACCAAAATTTCAATGTAAATTAGATTTATATATGTGCGTATTTTGGTATATTGCATTTGATAGATATAGACACAGTAATCAGACTGTGACATAACTTTTGGGTCAACCCTCATATATTTGATGAAGAAGGATGTCCCCTTTAAATAGTGAACTTTGTGACTTCTGATACAGGGGTTGTAGTGTTCATGTAAGGCTAGATTAGATACATGTATATAGTGAAAAAAGCATTTATTTTTACTTTCTGTACCTTGTATTGAGCAGACAAATTCAGAGCAATGTTATGTTAAGTACATGTAAATGCATCTTCCCAAATTGGGAAATTCATGGTTCTTGGGTTAAGGGTCCTAGAATTAGGAGGGGACTCTATTGATCATAAATGTAAATGTTACCCTTTGCTCTTGATTACTTTGGATGAAAACAACAGGTAAGTGCGTAGTTATGTTAAAGAAAAAAATTAAACTGTGAAATCTTCGTTCAGAAGATCCGGTTTTAGGATGGGGTTTGAATATGACTGTGTTTTATTGATTTTTTCATTTTTTCTTATTTTTGATTATCAACATATTATGTGTCTTTTATTAATATTTATCATGTTTTTTGCTCAGGTGGCTGATATGGTCCTAAGGTCTTTTATTTTATTTTTCTTAAAAAGTTTAAAAAATCAAAATTAATAATTGCTGTAGCTGCAGATCTGTAGCTCTCCGAAAAAAAATTAATAGATATAACTGTATATTTATTGCGCACGAAAAAGTGCGCTCGGTTCTCGGTTTCTTTCTCCATGTTTTTAAACTGTAATCTCAAACTATTACTAACCGTGTGTTCCTAACATATTCTTTGACTCTTTCCACAATAAAACTTTCCTCATAATTGTTGTAAATAGTCCTCCTGGCCCTGATATTGTAATCATCGAACATTTCGCTTATTTATACTGCCATTTTGGTTTCAAGGATAATTCGGTCCAATATGCTTCGTTCAGATGTCAACTACAAAAGTACTTGATAGAGGAAAGAAGATTTTTTTTGAAATCTTCCATTTTATGCAATTTAGGTAAGAATTTGGAAGAATTAATCAACAACCGAGCGCACTTTTTTGTGCACAATAAATATACAGTTTTTTCAATGAGTGGCACTGTAGCTCTCCGGTCTATCAATTTTTTTTTCGGAGAGCTACAGATCTGCAGCTATAATTGCTGTACCTAAATGTCTGAATGGTTTGGAATGTTTTAAACACCCTTCTCCCCTTATCCAGTTTGTATATGGTTGAGTTTGTAAAGTATTCCTGCTTTTTGTTAATATTCTGAGGTCCATAATTATACGCATTGGCCACTGCAAGGAAAATGGAGTCTCCTATCTTGAAGAATTCCACGTCTGTGGCACCATTTGTCTGAAAGAAAAATACCTTTTTAATATAACACCTGTTATATATTATATAAAACGCATCTGCTATAGCTAACATTGAAGGGAAGCAACAATGTGCATTTTAGTTTGAGAGTAGCCTTGTCTGGTAAAACTGTTTTAATAACTTTTTTTTACTATGTTTGAATTCATATCAATTTATACTATCATTTAATTAATTTATGTTTTATTTCAGATACGAAGTTTAAAGGAAATATTTATATATATATTGTTGTTTCATAAAAAAATTTCTTAAGATTCACTTGTCATAATCATTATTTCTAAATGTTAATTGGTATAACATTATTTACAATTATGTCTACAAAAACATATTTTAGGAAGAATAACCTCTATTGTTTGGAAGAGAACAAACTTCTTGTCTTGTAGAACATAGATGTTGGAATCAATAAGCGTGCTAAATCCGTCAAAGGCCTGCGCGGCGGCCAGGAAATGATATCCATTCACCCGGAAGTAGGTCCAGTCGTAGGCGCCCGTCGTTAATAAACTCTGGAATAATTCAAAGCGGCGCAATTTTGTACTCCATTTGTAGATTTCAGAGTCAACCTTATGGCTAGCACCTTGTAGTGAAAAAGAAATTTATTTTGAAAAATTGTAAGTACAAACTAACATAGTAAAAATAGCTAACGATGCTTGCTTATGCTTCTGGTTTACAGTGATTTCAAAGTTATAAAGCATTAATCGTATAGTAAAATATTCAAAACCATATAGTCATTAATTTTTCCTCAATGCTAGAAACATACAGGGTGTCCCATACCATATGATACCATTTCATGATTACGTAAAAGATGATGTAATGAATATTGGTATACAACAATGTGCTATAAATTAGCATTCTTATCACATTTCTTGTATTTAAAAAATAATGAAATTTTCACAGAATCAAGAGGACAATATCACTAATTGATGGTATCAGTGAGATTAAATTTGACCGTTTAATATTAGAGGCAAGGTCAGGTCAAGGTCATTATCTTTTTCCTGGACATTAAGAATAAAAAATTACTATTTCCAATCATAAAAAGATACTACCATATAGGGCCTATAAGATGATTGTACCAAATCGACATGGATAATTTAAATAAAATGGATATTAGCTAATCCGAATTTCCTCTTTTCTTAAATTTTTAGGATTTATTAGTTATTTTATATGCTTCCTATATTTAACTTTTTCCAAAATTTCACATATAGTAAAGTTGTCACATGAAGGTACAAAATAATACAAAAACTAAAATTTTTGATCGTTTACTAAGAGAGAAATAACACTTTTTACGGAATTTTGGCTCAAATTTGTACTTAGATTTGAAGCATTTAAAAGCCAACATATTTCTAGTATGTGTGAAAAATCTTATTTATTTGATGTATTTTGAAACTTAAGTCCCTTATTATTAATTTAACTTACATTTAAAAATTTTCTAGTCTTTGATTGCGTAAAAATTATAACTAAATTCAATGTTCTATGATAATTTTGTGAGGCAGAAAAAGAAGATATTTTCATACGCCACCATTCCGCCAAAATTATAGTCCCTGCTAGTTTTCGAACACAGTTTACCATTTCTATTTAAAGTTGTATAATTGTGATGAGGGAAGAAAAATATGGTCTTTTAAATCTCTTACATCTAAATATATAAGACATATCAACAAATGTACTTTGAATATTCCATCTAGTCAAAAACCAGAGAAGAATCCTACCATAAGCAGTGCATATATACTGTCAAATTTTATTCACACAATTTGACTGACATTGAAAGGAACGTAACAGAATAAGTTCACTTTGAAAAATACTATCATTTTAAATGATGTCCTCTAAGTGAGGTCCAATCTGTGTAATGATCATGTATAGACATTACACAAAATTCCATAAATATACTGAAGACAGCAGTGCATTTCTCTTTAGTTATAATCAGGAATGTCATCGGAAACATATTCTTTTAGATTAAGATTTAGATTAAGGTTCAGTAACAACGTTATTAATTATCTTCACATTTTCATTACGTACATATACAGACGCTAGAGGAAATTCGAGCATTAATTCCGACATCATCGTGCGGATTGTAGCCATATAACAAAATAAAACATCTTTTAAAAACAATGCTAAATATTTTTCTTATATCCCATTTCTTAAAAAAATAATTTAAATCGTCGGACTTCTAATTACGGCAAATAGAGCCAGTTTCTGTGGGTTCTTTTTCTACAGATAAACGTGGGCGATATAACACTTACAAGTAACAAACAGCAGTGAAGATAGAAAAGAAATATTTTATTGTGTCAATGTCTTAATAATCTACTTTCAATTAAATTTTGAAATAAAATTCAAACAGATTGGATGGAGTTTTCTTATCTGCGTGTATACTATGCGGGTACATGAAAGCGTTTGACGCGTGACCAGGAATTGTTTTCAAAACATGCAAACTCAGATTATCAGGAAGCACAGGTAGCTGACCTGTCAATGAAATCAGAAGCTATTGTTTTTTTTTAATGATTGGCATGCGGTAAATTATTGATCTTGAATCAGGCAGATTTTGGGGGCGTTAACATAAAATTGGGTGTTTAATAGCAGTGGCCAGATTTGGAAAGAATCCCTGGAATTTAACGCATAAATGACAGGAAAAAATCCTTGACCATCTACCTTTGGCATAGTTAGTGACAGCTAGATAATTTTCATCGTTGATGACAAAATGCTCAAAGTCCCTCGCTGTCCAGGTGAGTATAGTTTGAAATTCCTTGAACTTTTTCCGCCGTTTATGCCATTTATATATTGTAGAATTGCTTTGCACACCAGAAGCTTTGCCGTAGTTTGCAACTGCAAGGAAAAACTGAAATTGAAAGGACGTACATTGTAGGGCTGCTGTTAAGCAAACACACTTCCTTCATACTTTCTATTGAATACTGTTCAGTTCACGTATAGACTAAAATAATTTCTTTAAAAAATTCTACTCACGTTGTTGTCAATAGTGAAGAATTTCCAGCATTGTGCGGCATCTGTGTCCATACGCTGATAGAAAACAAACCTCTTTTTCCTCCATTTATATATAATTGAAATGTCTTTTTTTCTCGATTTTTTAGGTCTACTGGAGGCAAAGACGGCAAAGATCCCCTCCCCCTTTATAGTGAATACCTCCACGTCTATAGAAGGGCCTGGCGTACGGATGTCTTGATGGAAGTCTATGTAATCTAATCGACGTGGTAAATTTGGAACCTTTGATGGAGCTTCAAAGATTATGAAAAATATATTAAGCTGCTGGTCAAATAGAGGGTTTATACGTTGGTACATATATTTTTATTGGAAACAATAATTACAACAACGATCTACTTTGGTCAGTTTAGAGTCTTATGAAAAAAAAAATTCAGTTTACATGCTTAATTTTTCATTAAATATTATTAGTAAGAATTTTATCAGTTATTTTATACAATTACATTTATGTTAAATGTTGACAGTAGCGGTCTCTGTACCTTGTATATTTACGGTGACATGCTGCCAGATTCCATTGACGCAAACCTTGAGAGATTTAGCGTGAAGGTCATAGGCGATGTTTCCCACGTCTGTCCATGTGCAGTCATCCCATCGGGGCCCTGGCGAGCCAATCCGGTATATGTCTAAAATAAGGTACACAAAGAGAAAAATTTAATTATGCAAAGGTAAGGCTTTAAAGATTTTTTTCTACTTCAAAATCTCTGACATTCTATTAAACTTTCACCCTTTGCTTATTAAAGAATGAATCGTCCTCCTCAAGTACAATTGAATTGTTTTTGATAATGAATTTTCTAAGAGAAAATGACTAAAGAAATAATATCCATGCAAATTGAGTGCATAATATAAGACAACTCATTGTTGGAGAAAAGAATCTGGCATGGAAAACATTACAAATTTAGAGTTATCGCTCTTTTGCGTCCAGATAACAACCTTCTTTTAAAGCAAGAGGTCAACGCAATATTTTACATCTGGGTATTGATGTTATAAATAGAATAAATTTAACGTTTAAAATATGTCAGTTAGTTTTGTATGGATTTGTATATTTCATTAAAATATTTCAGTGATTCAAGCGCATTTATATATCTTAAAAGAAAATGCATTGTAGTGTAAAGAAGCACATGTGCTCTGATCATGCAATGCCAGAATACATACCAATTAATCGGCCTGAAATTATTTGAAATGCATGTAGTATTTTTTTTATATGAATTATGTAGTCAAACTTTTTCTATAATATTTATTTGCAATATTCAGTCAGAAAAATAAATGTTAGATTTGATGAAGACATACCTGGGACTGCTGGAAGTCGGTTGTCAAGGTGACGATGCTGGGGTGTTTTGGGTGGACACGCTCTAACGGCGGCGTCCGCTCCCGGGATGAAGATCAAATCTTTTATCTGTCCCTAAACAATATATATAATCATTATCTAATTTTATATTTAAAAAACACTGTAAAATATACACATGCTTTTGGCTTCGTTGGGATTCTTTTTTTATAAATCTGACTAGTGATTCCGTGTTTTAAACGCACACATAACTTTAAATCAATTCTAACCCTGAAAAGGAAAACATTAAGTGAATATTTATAATTATTTAGGTCAGTAGCTGGTTATTGAAAGATAATTAATAATTAAATTCTTTTGATGTTATTTTTATACTATTATTTGGGAAAATAAAGTGTATCTGGACATAATGATTAAGTAAACAAAATTTTAAAAAATTCTATTATTTTCAATGAAACATGAAGAATAAGTTCAAAATGTGAGCGGTTTTTTTCATACCAAAGGACAGTTATTTTATGTTCTTGGTCTTTTCTTAGAAATGATATAAAGTTAAATAGGTATTGTGTTTACTTTTAAAATGATTTCATATTTAATTCCACGAAAATAAATCAATTCCTTCTTCATAATTCTATAGTACCTAATTGCACGACGATATTAGAAGACCTTTTTTGTATTCATATGAAGCAGACTTTGTCCAAAATCTTATACATGAAAAAAAAGAAAATACATGCTGTGGCCTTCAACTCAATATTTAGATATATCGACGACGCATTGTCAATAAACAATAGTAATTTCCATTTTTATGTCGATCCGATGTATCCTGATGAGCTTGAGATAAAAGATACCACAGAGTTTGACACAACTGTTTCATATTTGGATATTTTACTTGAAAAAGACGTCAATGGTAATATAACAACCAAACTTTATGATAAACATGATGACTTTAACTTTTTTAATCGTCAACTTCCCTTACTTATGCAGCAATGTACCTTAATTACCTACATACGGAGTTTACATATCGCAGTTGATTCGATACACAAGACCTTGCTCTACGTATGAACAATTTCCTAAACGAGGTAAATTATTGACAAAAAAGTTGATGAAACAAGAATATTAGCAGTCTGTTTAAAGTCATCAATTCGTAATTTTTATGGTCGATACAATGACCTTTTCAGCACATTTAATTTATCATTCAATCATATGCTGAGTGGCAATTTTCATTTTAATTGTTAGTCCATTATTTATACACTGAAATGACGACAGATTTTCCCGTTATTTCCCGATCATGACAGGGAGCACACGGCGGGCGTGACCGGTCGGCAGGAGATGCTAACCCCTCCATGGCACCTGATCACACCTTTGATGTCCTGGAGATCAGGTTTTTTTTTTTTGCTCTACTCTTATTTTGTATTTTTTTTTAATGGACTTTTTATTTTGAATTCTGTTCGTTATCTCCATATGTTTCATAATAGCCTTAAAACACGTTTAGAATTAAACTAAAATCTTGTGTATCCGATTCTTTGAAAGTCCGTGTTATCTTTGAAGGAGAAGAGCTAAGAAAGGAGTTTTGTTCTCATTGAAGTGTTTGATAGCATAGAAAGATGTAGCATAGATGTGTGAATTATCTTTAACTTTCTCCGAGTACATCATTTTGTACACATATGTTATACGTTATTTTTTTTAATTTAATAGAAGAAAAAATGAAACTGGTATGGTTGTAATGAATACTTATTTACAGAACGTACGTAATATATTTGTAAGCTAATGAATGAGAGTATTCAGATATATTTATCAAAAGTTGATATAAGCATTCGAAAATTCGGTAAACCAATCAAATGCAGTATATCTATTCCCCTAAAATATTTTTAAAAAGACAGACAAAATCGTCATGCAGTCAAGGACATCTAGCGTGTATTAAATTTTTGGTGACTGTGTATGGGTTAACCGCGGTCAAATGTGTTACCAAAGATATCGGTTTCACTACTAAAGCTATCATTAGCTAGGACCAAATATATCATTATCTTATGGTCCCCATATATCAACAACCAAAACCTGTACATATTAATTATGATGTGAAAATGTGTTTATCCTCAGTTAATAGAATTTAAGAATGCTACTAGAAAGGGATGGTGCTGAAAGTTTCGGGTGGCCATATCAGTTTGACATTACCATACATCTTAAAAGGCTACCATTTGAAATCAATTATGCACAAATTACGCTATACGTTTACTAATACCTAGCAATTAACGGATTGTTTAAAAAATTCATTTGAATAAACTTGCACTGAGAGTAAGTGAAGGATATCCACAGAGCCACGGGGTCCCTGTAAAGTAACCGCCGGCCGTTTTCTCGCCTGTCAGAAGACAGTTTATTTGCGGTACCCCTTATTGTGTAATTAAACAGGCGATAAGAACGATAGCCGATAATGTTTAAGCAATAAATAAACACCCGCCCATTATGAGGTGAAATGACGGGTTCTTACAAAGCACTAGTATTTTATTCGAATTCCTGGTATTATGTAGATCTGGCGATAACATTTGAGGACTATCTTACACGTGTTGATATATTTGAGATAATCTTCGCAAATAGATAAAGCGAAAATGAATGGCGAATCGGCATTTGTCAGGAAGAATCAGGTGTTAAAATAACGATATCCTAAGATCACTTTACGAAATCAAAACGATTGAAATTTCTTGTTTAGTGAACTTATCCGAAATAATATAGCACGTCTGTCAATTTTAATAGAAAAAAATGTTATTTAAACAAAAAATTCAAGATAGAAGGGTACTTTACAAGCAATTGTTATCCTCGAAGACATTTTAGTCAAAGGACTACATTAATGCTTGAGTATATGCTTTCTTATTGCTCGACCTTGTGTTCATAGATGTGTCCAATTATGGGAAGCCATATTTTTAAACAACGTCTATAAAACTGACATAACGCTCAGTGGTGTTAATAGTTTTTTCCTAATTTTTTTTCCTCCAGAACTGAAATTTGGAGATAATAGCAATATTCAAGCTCAAAAGCTCATTCAATCAATTCAAATCAGTAGCAGAGCAAAGATGGAAGTCTAAAAACATCAGAGGTTTGATCAGGTGTTATGGAGGAGTAAGCATCTTCTGTCCACCGGTCGCGCACGCCGCTGGAACATGGAAAAATCCGTGGACAATAAGTATGGAAAACGTTCATCATCATTGGACTAAATGAAAGGCAGTTTTTGCTGACAAGGTCATTGTGTAGACCACAGGACTTGCAAAAAGAGGACCTAACGAAACCGTTCATTATCTTGTTTCATCAACTTGCAGAAAGTCAGTTACGATCGTCAATAGATTGCCTGTTTTAAAAATGTTCGCTTATAGGGCAAGCTTTTGTGTATCGAATCAACTGAGAGACATAAACCCCTTATGCAGGAAATAAGGTATATGGCTACTTAATGCAACTGAAAAAAAAATGGTTGTAAGATTGCCATCAACGTCATTTTTTAGTAAAATATCCAAATGTGAACCAGATGTGTTAGACTCTATGGTATCTTTTATTTCAAGCTCGCTGGGATATATCTTGTCGATATATGAATGGAAATAACCATTGTTACTTGATAATCTAAATGTCGAGTTGATGGTCACAGCAAGTGTCTTTGCTTTATCTCGTGCTTAAGGTTATGAATTATGTCTGCTTTAGGAATACAAAAATAGGTCTACTTATAACTGGTTGCCATTGGTACCTATGGATTGTTGAAAGACCCGGTCTCAAAAACCACATACAATGTAGATAATGTCAATCAGAATCTCAAGCATCTTTTGAATTTCAAATTCAGAGAACCTGTGTGAACAATCAGAAGGCTGTTTCACAAAATAATTTTGCAAATGATGTCTTCATAAACTATTATTTAAATTAACTTGAATTTAAATTATCCAATATAAGATAAAAAGAATTGATGAAAAAGACAACTGAAGAAATACTCAGAGGATTTAAAGATACTTCAACAAAACAAAAAAAAAAATACAATTTATCATTCAGTCAAATGCTGACTGGCGTTTTTCTTACTAATTGGTAGTCCATTATTTATACCCTGAATTGACGACGGATTTTTCCGTGATTTCCCGATCATGACAAGGAGACCGGTCAGCAGGGGATGCTCACTCCTCCATGGCACCTGATCCCACCCCTGATGTTTCGGAGGTCCATGTTTTCTCTGCTCCTATTTTGTATTGTTTTATGGACTTTGAGATTGAATACTGTTCGTTATCTCCATATCTTTCTTGCTCTACAGAATCATAATGCAAAAGATACAGGTAAATGTTATTGCTATTGCAAAGGTCTACAGAGAAGTGAACTAGAAAACAAAATGTGAACAATTAATTGTGAAAAGCAAATATGAGTAGAAGAGTGTGGTCGTTTAGTTTTGCTTTGCTTATTCTTGCAGCGCCGTTCCTTATATCTATCTAACTCTTGTGTACATTTAGCCAAAATCTTGTCAAAATGAGAATTTTATGTTCTAAATTTGTGTTTCTTTCGTCCCCGTCAGAAACTTTGTGGTGGTTACATTATGTAATTATTTACTTAGATAAGCCGGACAAACAAACTTATCAGGAGTGAAATATACACCAACACATGAACACTGTATATCTTGATACAACGATGTAAAATATGTAATATAAATGTATACAAGCGATGTTCCATTCTCATTCACTTTGTAGTTTTCCTTTCCAATGCCTAATAATTTTGTTTTCATATATTCGAATCTTTTCAGATGGAGTCCAAAATATTAAACATTTTCGTGTTCTTTTAAAGCACCATGCAATACGCCTTTGGTTCACAAAAGCTTGTTTCAAAGAGATTGGGAGCAAAGCAAACAAAATCTTTCAGAAAAAGTATTCATACTAGAGAAAATATTATAACATTCAAAAATATAGGTTCACTCAACTAAGAAGTTTCATAATTAAAAAAAAACTATATTGAGATTGATGAATCCAATGGATAATTTCTTGTTGTTTGCAATATAAAAATTGTTTTTATTCTCTATATTTTATAAAGAAAGTAATGTCAAAAATTAAAATCCTCTTAACATCTTAAAAAAAGAAACAAATATTAAGAGAAATCAAACATTGTCGGACAACTCTAAAGGTTTATGTGGTACTGTTCGATGAGTAACCCAGAACTGGTATTGATTTGTGTTGTGCCTGACTTTGTGAGCCGAACGCGATACTTTAAAGAACTGAAAGCTTCTGCAAATAATATTAACCCAGTACTAATTGCATGAATGAATTTTAAAATATTTATTTTCAACTTTGCTGTTTACACGCTAGTTAGATTCATATTGATTCATTTTGGAGCTCAATGAATATTTATTTATAGTTTATTCCTTACTCCTCCTATGCACCTAATCCTACCTCTAGAACTACCAGGAGTCTGTCTTTTATGCCCGGTTCACAGAGTTGTTAGTGTTTTTAAGACTTTTTGAGATCGATCATTGTTTGTTTTGTTCATCTTTTTCACTTGAAAGAACAATATTATTACTAAACTTAAGATTTGTTAGTGACCATTTTTCAGATGTTAAAAAAATCAATTAAATCAATAAAATTATTTTATGAAACACAATTAAGTATTGTATTGTAAAATTTTGAGTTGATGATTGAAAGACATATGATCGTAAGTACCCAGGAGGATATTACTTCTATATATCACTTCCAGTGAAGAAATTCTTCAAAACCATAAGTTAATTTTCAATATTCCAAACAACCAAAATAAATTTGAATTACCATGTCTATATTCGATTTCAAAACTTCATAAAAGTCCTTACAAACAAAGAGACATTGCGGGTACCGGTAAATGTTCTACCAAGCCTCTTTCTTTACTCCTCACTAAAATATTACCAGTAGTGAGGAGAAACTTCAGGAGTACTGTGCAACAATATATTCGAGAAATATTTTAAATCAAATACGTACACTTAAAATTTCCAAGGAACTTTTAGAACATTTAAAATCACAAACTTTTACCATAATCAACAGCATATACTAACTACTTTTCAAATTTTTATACAACCGTTCCCCACGATAAATTAAAGTCCAGGCCTTTTGATATCATTGACAGCTTCTTTTTCAATAAAATGGAACTCGAAAATTGACTTACCTTGTCACTGGTCATTTGCAAAATTACTTTGTTAAAACATTCTGATTGTACACACAAGTACTCTGAAGCTGATATTAAAAAGATGCTTGAGTTTCTGGTTGACAATATCTACTAGTATTTGATTTTTGGAGAATTGGTCTTACGACTATCTATTGGAATTCCCATTGGTACCAATTGCGCCCAGTTATTAGCAGACCTATTTTTGTATTCACATGAGGCAGAATTTGTCCAAAATCTAAATTGTGAAAAGAAAACACTTGCTGTTGCATTCAACTCCACATTTAGATATATCAACGACGTATTGGCAATGGTAATTTCCATTCTTATGTCAATACAATACCATATATCCTGGTGAGCTTAAAATACACAGAGTTTGACACATTTGTTTCCTATTTCGATATTTTAGTTGAAAAAGACGTTAATGGTAATCTAACAACCAAAGTTTATGATAAACATGATGACTTTAACTTCTCAATCTTCAGCTTCCCTTATGCAGCAATATTCCTTCATCACCTGCATACGGGTTTTATATCTCAGTTGATTCGATACGCAAGAGCATGCTCTACGTATGAACAAATTCTGAAACGAGGTAAATTACTGAAAAAAGTTGATGAAACAAGAATATTATTAGTATCGTTTAAAGTCATTATTTTGTTATATGGTCGATAATCATATAATTACCTAGTCAACACATGTAATTTATCTTTAAGTCAAATGGTATCTGACGGTTTTCACACTTATTATTAGGCCATTATATACCCACGGAATTGTCGACGTATTTTTACATTATTTCCCGATCTTGACAAATAGCACACGGCGGGTGTGACTGATCGACATAAGATGCTCACTCCTCCGCGGCAATTGATCCCACCTCTGATGTTTAAAGACCCCTGTTTGCTATGTTCCACTTTTGTATTGTTTTATGGACTTTTAAGCTAAAATACTGTTTGTTATCTCCACATATTTATTAGACAAAAAAAAATTACTCGCATGGTCATGTAATATTTCTTGATTGAATGACTAAGGGTAACAAAGATACATTTCTATGTCACGTCACATGATTAGATTTTTCTACTTATATGTTAGTAAGATGTACAATATGAAAGGTGAAGAAAACACAATGATCAGTGTTACAAATTCGGTTAACAAAACATATCGTGAACAGGAGGAACCAAAGATTCATGGCAATACCAAAGGTGAGATCACCCTTAAACGAGCAATATTTTAGCAATGAGTAAAATGCACTATTACTTTAATATTATGTACTTATTTTATGCGATACAAATATTTTATTAATTGATGCAAAGCAATCCGCTAGGACATATATAATTTTATACATCGTTTGTAGATTATGTATCATTAGCGGTTACAATATACATTATGTGTGTATTTAATATGTTCATATACAAGTATGAAAATTATTAATTTTCTTTATTTAAGTTCATATTGTGGTGAATATTTCACTGATATGGAGACGTCACCATTGCCGGTGAAGGGCTGCAAATTTAGGCCTATGCTCGGCAAAAATATTTTCTTTGTATTTAAGAAATTAAAAAAATATTGTTTTAAAAAATTGTGGAAAAACTGTTACTTTACCAGTGTAACTCCATGTCCTGGTGCACAGCTTGCAATTTGAAAAGTAGAGTTGTTAAGTGGAAGAATTGAGGGCCATTTTCTTTTCAGTCTTTTTCTTCTTTTATTTATACAATCCGTTGTCATAGTGATATCAGTTGATGATACACTAAATCCTACAGAATGCCACTTTTTGTCTTTCAATGCAAAGTTCCTGTACTGCACTTTTCTGTTGTTATAAGTAAATATGATGTATTTTCTAGAAAATTGAATTGATACTAAAGTTGAATTTTTGTTTCCTATACGTAGTATACATTCTTTTTTATCATACACACTTTCATGTTTTATCACAAAGAATATTGAAAATTCATCTGGGAAAAAAAGACAGTTTTTGAATATTTTGGAGACGGGAAACTGTAAATCAACATTGTTTCTTGAGAACCTGTACGCATGCGCGTGACTGTTGGTGTCATACAAAACGCTCACTCCACTTGGTAAAAATCCGTACTTTGGAATACTTTCCTCTAGAAGATCCGCAGGTAAAATACCTAAAAGTAGAAGTGATGCATAATTTCGTCATAAGAAAACAAAATCATCTTTATTTTATTTTAATTTTATTGGATAAAAATTTATCAGTTCACTACACATCTATTTTGATCTTTGATTATGCATTAACCATTTAACATTTCATTAAACTACAATAAAATTTGTACCTTTTAAATCATTAGAAATAATATCTGAAATTAATCACATTATATTTTAAAAAATTCTTTAAAATATTCTAAATAAAATTTTAATGAAGCATGTAGTAATTTTCCCTCAAATTCTTGTACAAATCATTTGACCATCAATCTGTATTATTTTTATATCAAAAGTTTATTTGAACATCCCCTGCTTAATCATTAGCCACCTCTGTACGCAACGCTCGTGATCGGTCAGTGTGCTCGAGTTAGATTCTTGTTCTGATCGTTCACCCTAATATTCTGTTGTATCGGATTATCTTTTTACTGTTAACACCTTACCAGAATACACTTGGGGGGAGGCTCTGTGGGGTAAGAGGATAGCCAGCTAGTGACAAGTTCTTTTTAATTTTGTTTGTCATAACGTTATGCTGGAGGGGTATCTTTGTCCCTTTTGCAATAGATTGAGTTGAATCAACTTGTTGGCATTAAACACAAACTGTCTCATTCAATTAAATCAATTTGAACACGTGTATTTTTCGGATCGCCAGACGACTCGGACACGCCCCCTTGGACAAGTAAACTTTACAGACTGCACATGATATTTAAAAGTCAACTCTGTTCCCTGATGACAGCGCAAATATGGCTTTAAACACGGACCGACTGGGAAAAGTTATGCGTTTTCTTTGATCACATATTTATTATTCATCAAGTTTTAGCCCAAGAAATTTGCTCGAAGCTTAAAATTGTCCTGAATCGCATAAGAGGTTCCATAAAAATTCTATGGGACCTTGCAGTGCGAACATTTTACTAATTAAATTCTTTGTAGTTCAACTTGCTCTTTGATTTTTTAAATGTCAAAATTAACCATTGATCGTACTTCATTAGAGTAACAGGAATTTATGTTAAGTGTTACAACATAGAATATTTATGAAATTTTTATAGGGTGACTATTTCATAAAGTGGGATAGAAAACAAATTCGTTTGATATATGTCCTGATATAATATTTTACTTATGGCTATATACAAGAGCAAGATTACATATGATATTTAAATTGCTCCTAAATGGTCTGAAATGCTTTAAAAAAATTCGATGTCTTATATTTGACATAAAAAAAACAAGCATCCTTTAAAGCTAAGAAGAAACGAGTATGAATCCCAGCCCTTGCTTGGTGTAAGCTCATTATAAAATTGCCCACAATAAACACCTGTGCTCTTAAACGCACAATTGTGGGAACTAATGGTGTGTCACTATCAAAGTTAAAGCCACGGAAATGACAACTAATTGTGAATTTACATGTTTAAGAAAAGTAGAAAGTTTGAAATTTTGATGTCTTATTTGATATGTGTTACATCAAAGTATTACACGCAAAATTATCGGGAAATAAACTTTATTAAGATGTTAAAATTAAAAACATCTTTGATATTTAAGGTGAAAAAATTAAATTGGGGATGACAAGAAATATGATTGGTTAATTTGGGGTATCAATACAGGTGCCTATCGCCTTCATTATATCTTTATAGTGGCAAATCAAATTTTTATGGATATCAATCTTGTTATTCATTTAGCCTATAACAACTTTTTATCGCTAAAAAGTGAAAAGGGACATATTTGCAGTGTCATTAAGAGGAGAATTTTTCTTCAAGAAGAGTAATTGTATTTTAAAACCAATTTCATTGGAATTTTCTCCTGACTAACAAAAGACAGTCATAAATATATATGTTTCGCATTTTTCTTTTTAATTTTATTCATATTTATATTCAATTATAGTAACTTGTTTCAGATATATTTCATATTTATTTTAGAAAAAATAAATTAGTGGTTGATTGCTAATGGATGATAAACTAAAGTTACAACTAGGTAGTTTTTCTACCTAGTGAATAACATTATTTTATTTATTTATATGGTTTACATGTATACCCTTTAGCAGAGTATGTTACAAATCATTGAATAAAGAAAATAAAAGATATAAAACTATAGAGAACATAAAGCTTTTAATGTCTGAAAAGAGATCATCATTTCCTAAAAGTAAGGGTGTATATCCAATTGATATACCCCCTCCCCCCATCCCATTTATTTTTAGAATTGTTTGTGTATTTTAAATAATTTAAAAGATACACACATTTTAAAGCAAACATATAAAACACACACATATTTTCATCTTTATTCTTATTTCATATATCAATGCAACAAATCGTAGCTCCAAAATTTGATTTATAAATTAAAATGTAATGCATTATAAGAGTTTAAAAAAGCACTAAAATAGATTTAAAGCATAATTATTTTCAACAATATATATTTAAATATTTCTTTTACCTTTCTTTCAGATAAATGTGGAGGAAGGATGCAGTAAATTACAGATTTAAAAACGTAAAAGTTGCTAGGAGTTTAACCCACGTAAACTGTTAGTTCTAATCCTCAATGAACTTCATTATAGATAGTATGTGGTCGTGAATAATTTAATGAATCGCCATGTATATGTGATTTGCATGTAAACAAACTTAAATGTAGCAAAGGAAATTGCCGTTGGCCTGTGAAAGTAAATAATCTTATTTTATGTGAATAGTGTGCCATCGATCCCCGGTGAATAAATATTTATGATATAGTTAAGAAAATCCTTGTACATTCACCTGCCTAAGTGCAAAATAATAACTTTTGTATAGAGGCGTCTGAAACAGATTAGCTTCGTAACTTTCTCTTCGTCAAAAGATGTCTCGTAAAGGTATTGTTAAATTTTGCCCAAATAGGGCCCAGGTGAAGCAATAAGACATTAAAATTGTTAATTTTGCAGGATAATGTCTTTACCTGATTGTTCGATAGATGAATATTAAAACCAAGGTTTCAAAATTTCTTTAACCTCTCCTATCCGTTCTTCAACATTGAAATGAAACAGAAAAATAGGGTAGAGGTGGTTTTTAAAAATTTACAATGTATATAGCTTGTGTGTTTAAAAAATGTCACATCACGATTTTGGTAATTGAAAATGCATAAGTATTTTTATATATTTTTTTAAAATCACTTGATGATTTTTTTTTTATTTTAGAAAAGTTTTTAATATTAGTTTTGGAGAAATTCAATGTGCGTGAAATTAAAAATTAACCAATTGATGAGCAACTAAACATTTGATGTTTGTTGTTGGCAAATATTCTCTCTATTTAATATAAATTTGCATTTTTTCGACAGGTATAATATTTGGTGATCTCTTTATCATTAACAATCTCAAAGAGATTAGAGTCAGCGAAAAAAATAAAAGCTTACCTGCACATAAAGTCGGATCCAAAGTATTCCCATTTACTTTTTCACATTTAAAGTTTAAATACAATAAAAATAAAATATTTTTGAACATCAGAAGTAGATCCATTGCTTCTTTCCATAGAAATTAAGTTAATATTTTCCCATTCTTTATCTTTCCTCTGATCTGGCCAAAAAAGATCAAGCCAATGAGTGCAAGCTATATTATCACATGATTGCTGACGCGATAAGGAACAAGATTTCAATATGGCGCTGATTGTCCTAATTAAAACTTTTTAACTTGAAAAAACCTTTTGGCGTTTTATGGTCGTAGTCAGGGAAGGAGGAGTCACAATCACTTTCTGCGTGAATTATTGGATTAGATTACTGAAAGTTGCTTCTTCGGGTAGCTAAGTGTTTCAAATGGATACAGATAGCGGGATAATGAAAGGCTAACCATTTTCCTCTGTGAACACGCTGACTGAGTTGAGTATCACTGATATGTCTTTCTTTGCTGCAAGCAAAGCAGTGAAAGAAATGGTAACATTTACTTTCTGTTTTGGTGACAATACACCAATTATTCAAGAAGGTTAAATTCCAATGTAGACCTCACAAGATGTCCAAAATTAAACGGGACCATCTTTGAAATGTAGTTGAGTTATTTTAAACATTTTGTGAAGAAGATCTGGCATATCGCTAAATCAGATTGGTCAATCAGAAGAAGACGTTCTCTGTTCTCTCTGGCTGTCTTTATACAATTCTCTGTTTTGGTGGTAGAGGAATAAGGCATATCGTATGTTCTAGACCAGCTTGGAATGCTAAATCTGTATCAATAACATGTAATATATCTCCGCGTAGCTTGAAGGGACTTCTAACACGTCTATATAAGTAAAACGCCGGCATTTTAACTTGATGTAATTTGGTCGTGATGATAAAATGTGTATCTTGTCGAAATATCAAAGCAACGCAAACAAGGCAGTCACTTCAAGTTGTCAACACCCAATATAATAATGCGATGCGGCCAATAATTCTGATGTTATGATAGAAGAAGTCCCGTAATGGCGGGTTATCGCTAAGGGTAGCCGTGCAGGTTCTGTGATGTCGTTTTATCTCGGTGATATTTGCTGACATCCAGGAATTTTTGGCGATTATTTGGCCCATCTATTGCTAATCAGCCTTACACACTTACAAGTATGTGTCTCTTGACCGGTGTTTCTACAAACTCACGCTTCGTTATGTTACAATTTATTAAGACAGCATTAACTTGAAGTACTAAATTTATCAGAGGTCAAAAAAATATAAATGATCCGGTACATGAATGGCAAATGAATATAGACTTCATGATTGATACACAGATTTAAATAAAATGTAATAAACTAAACTGAATGACTTTCCTATACTTTACCAAAAGAGAAGCTTATTTGATACAAATTTTAATATTAAATTTCTAAAACGAGGCACACTATTGACAAATAAGTTGATGATGCAAGACTATTTAATATTTTATTAATTTTGTGGCCGATGAATGGTATTGTTTGCAACTTGCCATCCATGTTGTTAATTCGAATGTTGAGTGTTGTTTTCCATATAGATTGTTTGGACATTATGTTTATACTGAATTGTCAACGGATTTTACTAGCAGAATTTTCAAGCACGACAAAAAGCACGCAGCGGATTTGACTAGTCGACAGGGGAGACTTACTGCTTTAGGACCATTGATCCCAGGGATACTTTCAAATGACTGTGTTTGTTCTGTTCACAATTTTTATTGTTTCAGTGGAAGAGCTTATATACCGTTTGTTATCTTCATATTCTTGTTTTATTTATATGCTCTGTAATTCTCATCAAACCTAATAATTGATATGATTAAAGATTATCTATAACGTCATTCACTACGTCAGTAATATATCATAAGCATTGTTTTCTTAAAAAAATTCTTTGATGATTTATCTATCAAAATTAAGTTTTTTGTTAATCTTTGTTTCTAAAACTACAAATCTTTAAAAACAAAAAGAAAAACATTAAACTATTCTCCAGTTCTTACAGAAATTATTTTTCTCAACGGTCAACCCTTATTCTCTTGTCGCGCTCTGTCAACGCGTCAATGATTGTATTTTTGGTATTTATTTTGTAATTTGTATTTTTTCCCTATAACTTGAATCATATTTACTTGCATATTTCCTGTACCATTTACGTGCAAAATCTATTCCTTCTTTTGTAAATTATAATAAAAAATTTATGCTAAAAAGCGTGTAAATTATACTTTTTCCTAGGAAACCTTATCTCGGCTCATCTTTCTCAAGAAAAGAGAGCACAATGTGACAGTGTAGATTACAAGAAAATCTTCTTTTAAAGCCACTATAATTGAAAACATCCGGGCATTTCACATAACTAGCTCTTACAGCTTCGCGGTTAATTTACCAAAGTTATGAGACATTCTTCGGTGTGTGAAAGTTACCATGCTGCATTAAAGGCTAAACCAATCAAAGATACAATCACTCGACTTTGATCCTGACTCAGATATACATTTCGGTCACTGATTTTTCCCTTAAGTTTAAAAAGAATAAGAAATGATGGATTTTGTTCAAATGAAATTATTTATTGTGAAAACAATCTTTATGAAGAGGCGAAGAAGAGAATACTTTTATAAATTTAATTTCATAAAAAAGGTTTTAAAATATATAAAACGTATTTTTTCAATCGTATTTATTTTGTTTCATAGAGATGTTCAGTTTAGAATGCATAGAACTTGTTGAATTTAAAATTAGATTTCAAATAATTTCAACATTGATACAATTTGTTTTGATACTATTAATTTCAGTAATGGGTATTTCGACTTTTTTGTCGTATCTTTGGTATAGTCGATATTGAAAAATATAACTACTGTATTTATATCACTTTAAAATATATCACTTAAATTCTTTAATATATAATTTAATTCAAAAAGTTTAAAATAAAGCTTTTGAAATTTTTTCATAAAATTTTCATTTTATGCCTCTACATACGATTCAATGTTCTTTAAAGTTTTAACAAACGCTATTAAAAAAGTTGACATTTGTACCTCATGAAATTAAGTATAACTTGCATATTTAACAAAAATAAATTTTTGTTTTAAATTTAGCCTTAGTTACCAATGTTTTTATTTTTGAAATTATAAGTGATTTATGGTGTTTTCTTTGAAAGCAAACAGATACACTATGATATTAAACGTTTTGTAAGTAGGAGAAAGCAAAGTACCAAATAAGTGTAAAATTCAAGCAATTTTCTTTAAAAGCCTGGATACCAGCTTATTTATTTTGTATTTCTTAATCAATTATCAATTAAAAAATATGCAGTATTTTGCATGCAAAAATTATTTGTTATCCAAAGATTTTTAAAGAGTTAAAAAAACACCGTTAATTTTAAAAATTTAGAGACATCTTTGTGAGATTTTCCTTACTCAAAAATTTTCAGAACCTGAGAGAAATATTTTATATCACTTAAATTTAAAATACATATATCAGTTATAAATGTATTTTAGAATTGACCTGTATTAATTTCCTTTAATGTTTGAGGAACCTCATCTACATGGTGGTTAGAATTTCCCTACTTCTTTTTTTTTTTTACAATAGGAAACAAACAGAACGCTGATATTAAGTTTTGTACATGTAATCTTATTTATTTTGACTTTTTTATGATTTTTGCAAAAGAATTGAGTTCAAAAATTCAAATTTTCCTGTAAAAAAAAAAAAGAGAAATATTTTTATCTAGAATTTAATACATATATCAGTTATAAAATGAATTGACCTGAAATGAAGGAGAACAAAATGTTTTTAGAAGCGCACAATTGCCTATTTAAATTCACTAGGTTAGTATAATTTTTTTTATTTTACATTCTTTTTGAAGGAGTGTGTTGTTATAATGGTTTAACATTGTAATCTTAAAATTATAATGTTGATAAATTCGAATTTACCTAACTCATTTTTTATCATTTCATATTCACATATATAGTAAATAAGGCTGTCCTTTCCCCAACCCATTTACTTGTTTACAACAACATTTGTTTTACATAAATGTACATTTTCAGTCATTGACTCAAGCAGCACAAGTACTGAATTCATTAAAACATACCAGCTTGTCTTTTTATATCACCTTTTAATTCGATTTTAGGATTTAATATGATTACAAGCTAGTTGAATGTACTTGTACAAACACTTGTGTAGTCTTGAAGTGCTTAAATCCCAAACACGGATACTTGATGCTCTGTCAGCCTTTTTGGGGCAGAGGGTCGCAGTATTTGTTTTGGGTCCTTTGAACATCCCTGGAAGGTTTACACAAGACGGGTAGCGACACCTTCGCCAGCCACTTCGTTTTAATCTTTCATCTCGCCGTTTTATCAGGCAGTCGCAAGGAGGACTAAATATTTACCATGTCAATTTGTCCATGATTTGGCTGAGTCGAGGAAGCAGGCACTTTAATTAATTTGGTATACCTTAACCCGATACCTACTTACTTGTTGTTAAGAAAAACTTACTGGATAGAATTTATAACATTCGATATATTTCAGGAGTTTCAGGTTTATAGTGAAGTATTGGTAGATAGGTTTAAGTGGGGCATTGGCAATTTGACATTTTTCATCGGGTTAAATTGAAATTTCTTTTAATTACAATCCAGCGGAAAATTTAATGTTTCTATAAGAACCAGACTTAAAGATGTACCAGTAAATGTTTAACACTTTGGTCGTGGTTTTAATGTTGACCCCCTTTTTAAATTTAAAGAGACGAAAAGCAACAAAAATTGTTTGAAAAAGGAAATTCTAGGACTCAAAATTATCCAACTTCTAAAAATTTAGATTTTACAAATTTTCATTTTCTGCATTCTCTCTTACTTCCTCTTGAAGGGAAGATAATTATTATTTTATATTCTTTGTAAATATGGACATGACATTTGGAGTAATTTGCCTCTGAAACTTTATATAATAGATTTTGTTAATGGACTTGTATTAATTACAGCTTAAATACAGCTTTCTGATTTAATAAAAACATATTTAAAATTGTTTTATATGAAGCTCATCACTAATTCTATTATACTGGGTATTTCTGCCAAACATCATTATAACTGACAAACATCAAAGCATTGAGATTTCAGTAAGGCCCTAGCAAAGATCGCTATTCGGAACAATTTTACTTTTCAAACGTCGACTTTCTTTCTTTATGTCGTCATATTTCGCTATAAACTGTATTATTAGAGGATGCTCTGATTACCATCAATTTTTTAATTTTTGTTTTTTTTTTCCGTCACATGTATTTCATCTTCATGTTTGTAAAAGTTTTAAGCAATATGAAAAAAATCTCTTATTTTTGAAAATTTCAATTTTTTGATAATCTTAATGTGTTATTATGATAAATTTGTATGTAACTTAAACCTTTATGATCAATTAGACTAAAATAAAGCAGAAGAAAGACTTCTATATACAATTCATTATACAGTTTTATGTAAGGAATCATTATTGTACAGGACGACAATAATGTAATTTTGATTCAATCGAAGCTTATAAATAGTTCTTCCATCGCAAATATGAACAACAGATTTATAAACGTTATTTTTTCTGTCATTGAAATAGTTA